ACATACGACAGATTAATGTTCCTCTCATCTGCAAATATCCCAGACATCTCTTTTAGAGGGAGGCACCTTGACGTCCCTCCTCCCGGACTCATGTCCGGATAACCGTTTCCCTGAATCCCTTTCAAAGATATTACCTTGCTCACACTCCAACAGCTCACAAATCCCAAAAACCATTTGTCTCCACTCCTAACTACAAACACTCACCCTTGCCTGCTGAATGCCCAAGCCCCTTGACCTTCTTCATCCCTCTCTCTTCACCTTTCCGAGTGCGACCCCTACTCAGCCTTCCCTCCACTACAGATATATGTAGTTTCAAAGGCCATCTTATTTTTCTCCATGCTTTTTAAAATGTCCAAACCGCCTCAACAACCCTATATTCAGCCCTGGAAAATAATTTTTTAGTAAAAAACACGCACTTCCGATCACCAACAACGAATTTACTGTACAATATTTACGCCACATCCAATCCCCCAGATATGATATCTCCATTGCCGCCAGCCTCCTCCTCGCAGCACATTCATAACTTACGTTCATACTCATTTTAAAAGTGCTAGTACCACTATCTTTCACGTTTGTTTCCCCCCTTCATTCCTCCATGGATAATGTTCTTAATCTCATAGATACCTCAATGCACCACCCCTTTTTACCCTGCATCATCATTTTCACATAGTGGGTATGTTCATTCTCATGTTTTGAAAACATTCATTCCTCCATACTCCTTCCTCCTTGATTTTTTTATTTGTTTAGTTTGATTTCCAATCCAATTTTTCCTACCTAACTGATTTTAATACCCATATCACCTTTACTCTTATCTATGATTCAACTTCCCTTACACACCCTCCCAAATTTGGTAAACTAACCATTTGCAACTACTCTTCAGAATTCCTCACAAAGCGCAGAATCCTCAGTAAAAAGTAAATGTGTCAACTCCATTTCATTTACTATTCCGTATATTTTCCAACCCCTTCTCCCCAATAACCCAGAGGACCACTCATCCTACAAAGATGGCGCAGCCAGCAGAGCTAAGCTGTTTTAACCGACATACGAGGAACCTTCGGTGTCGTGGAACTTCTAGGCTAACTTTCATTCTCATCCCTGTTTGGTGTACTATCCACGAGCACATATATATACTATTTACCACGAATGAGTGGAATGATCAATAACAACAATGCACTAGCCAAGGGACTCGAACCCATGTTGTACTGGCCCGCCTCATGGTGGCTAGAACCACACGACGCCTTAACCAGCAGACCAACAATCCTACAAAGTAAGAGAGAAGTGAGGTTTCATAACGTAAGGAGGAGCAGAGAGATGGACAAGTGAGAGGAATGAGGTTGAAGGGTTATGGGGTTACATTAAGATGCATGTTTAATGTTTCAGTAGAAAATTCTTCATATATTTGGTGGGTGCGGGAGGGAAGAGGATGAAAAAGTTAACATTAGAATTTAAAAAAAAGGAGGGGAATTATACTGAGAAGATAAGAGGGGTTAAGAGAGTGTGGTTAAGGAAAGTAAAAGTGAGATGCTGTCAAAAGCTTTGCTGAGAATAAGAAAAAGTTTTGGAGTGAGATTTATACCCTGGGAAAGCCTAGGAAGGAATGAACTAGACAGTTCAGAACAGTGGAAAAAAGTTTTTTAGATGGTGAGTCGGAGGTATCGGAAGATGAAGCGAATATTTTCAGATAACAAAAAACGTGTTAGGAGCGAGTGGAGACAAATGGTTTTTATGACTTTACGAACTGTTGGAGTGTGAGCAAAGTTACTATTTATGAAGGTATTCAGGGAAAGCCGATTAGCCAAACTTTAGTCCCCGGGGGTGGGAAGTACAGTGCCTGCCCTCTGATGGAGGAGAAGAGATATGTTGCAATTTTTGAACTATAGTGTCGGTACACTTTGGCAAGACAGTGATGGAGTGAGTGATGATGAGAAAGTTTCTTTTTTTTTCAGGTGAGACTGCCTCGTTGGAAAACGTCCAATGTGTTAAAATTAAATATATATATATATATATATATATATATATATATATATATTATATATATATTATATATATATTAATATATATATATATATTCAACAAGTCGGCCGTCTCCCACCGAGTCAGGGTGACCCAAAGAGAAAGAAAATCCCCAAAAAGAAAATACTTTCATCATCATTCAACATTTTCAACTCACACATAATCACTGTTTTTGCAGAGGTGCCAAGAAGACAACAGTTTAGAAGTATATACATATAAAAATACACAATATATCCCTCCAAACTGCCAATATCTCAAACCCCTCTTTTAGAGTGCAGTCATTGTACTTCCCATTTCCAGGACTCAAGTCCGGTTATATAAAATAACCGGTTTCCCTGAATCCCTTCACTAAATATTACCCTGCTCACACTCCAACAGCTCGTCAGGTCCCAAATACCATTCGTCACGCCTGCTGGAAGTCCAAACCTCTCGCCCACAACACCTCCTTTACCCCCTCAATCCAACCTTTTCGAGGACGACCCCTGCCCCGCCTTCCTTCCCCTACAGATTTATACGCTCTCCATGTCATTCTACTTTGATCCATTCTCTCTAAATGACCAAACCACCTCAACAAACCCTCTTCAGCCCTCTGACTAATACTTTTATTAACTCCACACCTCCTAATTTCCACACTCCGAATTTTCTGCATAATATTTACACCACACATTGCCATTAGACAGGACATCTCCACTGCCTCCAACCGCCTCCTCGCTGCAGCATTTACAACCCAAACTTCACACCCATATAAGAGCGTTGGTACTACTATACTTTCATACGTTCCTTTCTTTGCCTCCATAGATAACATTTTTTGCCTCTTCATATACCTCAACGCACCACTCACCTTTTTTGCTTCATCAATTCTATGATTAAACCTCATCCTTCATAATCCATCCGCTGGCACGGCAACTCCCAAATATCTGAAAACATTCACTTCTTCCATACTCCTCCTCCCCAATTTGATATCCAATTTTTATCTAAATCATTTGATACTCTCATCAACTTACCTTTTCTATGTTCACTTTCAACTTTTTCCTTTACACACACTCCCAAATTCGTCTGCTAACCTTTGCAATTTTTCTTTAGAATCTCCCATAAGCACAGTATCATCAGCAAAAAGTAACTGTGTCACTTCCGATTTTGTATATAATTCTCCATAATTTAATCCCACCCCTCTCCCGAACACCCTAGCATTTACTTCTTTTACAACCCCATCTATAAATATATTAAGCAACCATGGTGACATTACACATCCCTGTCTAAGACCTACTTTTATCGGGAAGTATTCTCCCTCTCTTCTACACACCCTAACCTGAGCCTCACTATCCTCATAAAAACTCTTTACAGCATTTAGTAACTTACCACCTATTCCATATACTTGCAACATCTGCCACATTGTTTCCCTATCCACTCTATCATATGCCTTTTCTAAATCCATAAATGCAATAAAAACTTCTCTACCTTTATCTAAATACTGCTCACATATATGCTTCAATGTAAACACTTGATCTACACATCCCCTACCCACTCGAAAACCTCCTTGCTCATCCGCAATTCTACATTCTGTCTTACCTCTAATTCTTTCAATAATAATCATACCGTACACTTTTCCTGGTATACTCAGTAAACTTATTCCTCTATAATTTTTACAATCTCTTTTCGCCCCCTTCCCTTTATATAAAGGGACTATACATGCTCTCCGCCAATCCCTAGGTACCTTCCCCTCTTTTATACATTTATTAAACAAAAATACCAACCAGTCCAACACTAAATACATATATGTCGTGCCGAATAGGCAGAACTTGCGATCTTGGCTTAAATAGCAACGCTCATCTTGCCATATAGGACAAGTGAAAATTTGTGTATGCAATAATTTCGCCAAAATCATTCTGAACCTAACGAAAAAATGTATTTCACTGTATTTGTTTAATATTAAATTATTGTAAACAAATCTAAAATATGTTTAATCGGGTTAGGCTAAAAGAAATTGTTCTTGTTATAATAAGGTTAGGTAAGTTTTCTAAGATTCTTTTGGTGCAAAATTATAAATTTTTACATTAACATTAATGAAAAAAATATATCTTTAAACATAGAAGAGAAAATTTTAGAAAGGACTTTATTTAAATGAGTTCTTGCTAATTGACCAGTTTTACATATTCGGCACGACAATATATATATATATATATATATATATATATATATATAAATATATATATATATATATATATATATATATATATATATTATATATATATATGTTATATATATATAATATATATTATATATATATATATAGATAGATAGATAGATAGATAGATAGATAGATAGATAGATAGATAGTGGGTCATAAGGCTGTTGATGTGCCAAGTATCCATTTAGACGTTAACTTAGTTTTATTATAATCAAGGGGAAGCGCTAAACCCGTAGGATTATACAGCGCCTGTGGGGGGGGTTTTGGAAGGTGTTAAAGCTTAATTCTGGGAACGGGAGCACAGATCCAATTCCTAGATCAAAAAGCCCCTCACCAGTCCCAAAGGGAAACCCTTCCTTGAGAAGCATTAACTTAGTAAATAACTTAAGCGTAGCTGACAAATAGAGAAATGGCACAATAGAAATTGCTCCCTTTTGTTAGTACGACTTTTGGCCTAAATAAAGACCACGATGGCCCGTTCCTGATAAAACCCGTGTAGGGAAACCTTGCATTAATGTTACTGCACGTGGTAACCTTAAACAGGAGGCTACAAACCCCCTCACCAACTTGTAGTTAATGTAAGAACCATCTACCAGTCATTTAAGCACTTGATTATTCAGAAATTAGGTTTACTGAAATAGTTAAATGGGTTTATAATACTTACTCAGGGTTTATTGATGATTTCTTGAATGGTCGTAATATGCGATCAACTGATAACTCATGCCCGTTTAAGTACAATCCAATTCCCTTGCTAGCAATATTTTTAGCATTCCTGGGTTGATCACGAAGATAGGGAGACCAGGATGGGTGTAGCATGGTACATGGCTTCCTGTGTACTCAGAAGACCTCCATGACTCATGAACACCTTCACTCCTGGATCACCTTTGGAAAAAATGTAATATTTTTTAAGAATGGTGTTTCAATATATCATTCTAAATTATTCAAGCACAATTAGGCAACGTATTTGTATCACACTCGATAAATGGTGGACTGATTCTCTCGCACTCATACAGAGGACTAACAGAACATTTCTTGTGGTTTATTTGAATATCATTGTTAATTATTCATATACGTTCTACAATATTGATGGGTTTTTACACTAACTTAAAATATCCTGTTGAGGAAGCCAGGGCTTTGTGAGAACGTTGTCTGAAAGTCCAGGGAGATCACCTTCATACTTCCAGATAACCCGCTGCTCAAGTCTCCTGAAGGCTTCAATGAATAAATTGAGGTACTTGGTGGGCATTGCATGGCCACTAGTAATGGATCCTAAGCTGAAATAAAACAAACACCAACTTCCCCGGCGCCCTCAATCCATGAACTGAGATCCTGAAAAAGCACGTGATTAATTATTAGTATAGTATTAGTGGAGGGGATAAAAGAGAGTGCAAAAATTATAGGGGGATAAGTCTGTTGAGTGTACCTGGTAAAGTGTATGGTAGAGTTATAATTGAAAGAATTAAGAGTAAGACGAGAAAAAGGGTAGCAGATGAAACAAGGAGGCTTTAAAGGGAAAAGGGAGGGGGTGGTGGACCAGGGGTTTTCAGTGAAACATAAATGAACAGTATTTAGAAAGGCAAAGAGGGCTTTTTTGGCATTTTTTTTGGGAAAAGGCGTATGACAGGGGATAGGGGGGCAGTGGCAGATTTGCAAGGAAAGGTGTAGGAGGTGGTTACTGAAACGTGAAATTTTTACGAGGAATGAGGCTCAAGTTAAGTATGTGGGAAAAGGGAAATTTTTCCAGTAAAAGTGGGCCTTGAAAAGGATGTGTGATGTCACCGGGGTTGTTTAATATATTTATAGAGGGGGTTGTAAGAAAAGTAAATGCGAGGGCCCTTGGCAAGAGGCGTGAGTTAAAAAATAAAGAATCACACACAAAGGAGTTGTCACAGCCCCTTTTTGCTGATACTTTTCTCTTAAAACTAAAGAGAAGTTGCAGAGATTGGGGGATGAATTTGGTAGGGGTCAAAAGAAAAAAATTTAAAAGGGAAATACAGGGAAAAAGAAAAATTATAGGGTAACAAAAAGATTAGGTGATGAAAGTTTAATACAGATTGGAGGGAGGAGTAGGAGGGTGAACGTTTCGATATTTGGAGTGGACGGGCACGATGGGTCATAAAAATGAGGTGAATCAAAAATTGATGAGGAAAAAAGTGATGGTGCACTTAGGGGTCTGTGGAACAAAGAACTTTGTCCTGAGGGAAAGAGGGAAAGTTAGAGTATAGTTTTACCAACCTCTTAATGGGGGTAACGTGGGTGAGAAAGTTCACGAGGGGAAGGCTGAGGGGAGGGGGATGTCTGTCTAGGGCAATGTGTGGGGTGAATATATGCAGAGAATTCGTAATTTGGGAAATTGGGGGAGGTGCGGGATTCCAAAAAGTTGTCCAGAGGGCTGAGGAAGGGGGGGTTTAGGGGGTTCGGACATGTAAGAGAATGGGGCGAAACAAATGACTTCAAAAGTGTACAGTCTGTAGGAAGGGAAGGCGGGGGAGGGTCGGCCGGGAAGGGGTTTGGGGGGGGGGGTAAAGAGGTTTTGGGCAGGGCTTGGACTTCCACAGGGAGCGTGACTGTTTGATAGGGGTGAAAAGGAACAAAAGGGTTTTTAAAACCTTTTCGTGCTGTTGGAGTGTGACAAAGTAACTTTTTGAAGGGATTTAGGGGAACCGGCAGGCCGACTTGATCCGGATGGGGAATACAGGGCCGCACTCGAAGGGGGGTGTTTTAAAGTTCAGTTTTAAAAAATGTATGTAAAGACCCTTTTGGAAAAACAGTGATGGATGTAAGGTGAAAGTTTTTTTTTTGGGGCCCCCTGCCTTTGGGGAATCGGCCCCGGGGATAAAAAAATAATAAGAAATTTAGATTTATGGGGTATATGAAACGACAATCCAACCCAACGAGGCACTTTTAAGAAAACTTCTACAGTTACCGTTTTCTAATGTTGTTTTTAAATTTAAAAGTCAAACTGAATTTTTCCTCCCCGACCTCTCTCGGTACAAATATTTAGAAAAAGTTGCGATTTGGATGGTTTAATGATTTAAATGCCTGTCGATTACTTTTTTTACATTAAGGGTTCAAAATAACCTTTCACCACCAACCGAATATTTAAAATCACTCTTCTCATATATTCGAAAAAAAAACCCTAAGGGGGAATACACACACACACCACACACACACCACACACACACAACACACACACCACACACACACATATATATAAATAATAATAAAAAATATTAATATATATATTATATAAATATATATATATTATATTAATAAATAATATATTATATATATAAATTTTGTGAGTAAAAATGTGTGGAGGGATAGTAAGAAATTTTTGGGGGTCCGGGGGGTAAATGAAAATGGGGACCTTTAAATTTGACTATGTGTAAAAGGGGTTTGGAAAAAAATACTTTTTTTATGAAAAAGGGGAAAAAAAAATAAACAAGGAGATGCACACGTAAGGAAAGTATTTTTGCTAATATGTATTGGGGGAAAAAAATTTATGGGAGGCTCCAGGAGTACATTTTATAGAGGGGCAACTATATACGGATCATTTTATTTTGTAGCACAGTTAAGTAAGAGGTAGAGGGGGACAAGGGGAAAGGGTGGCAACAACAAGTGGGAAGGAAAGGGAAAATGTAAAAACTAAGGGAGGGGAAAATTCGGGCTAGATAAAGGACATTGGGAAAAGGGGGGCTGTCAAAATGATTTGTGGGGGGGTTGAGGAGGGTTTGGGTGATTTTAAAAAAGCGATTAGAATGGGCAGAAGTTTGTGGGTTTTAAGAGGTGGGGCAGGGGGAAAGAGGGAATATTGGTGGAATTATGAAGTAAAGGTGTATAAAAAGAAAAAGTTAAACTTATGAGAGGTTTATACAAAGCAGAAGTGTTAAAAAAAGAGCAAGTATATGGAAGTAAAAGAAAGGTAAAAAGAGTAGTGAGAGGTGCAAAAAAAGCAGATGAAGACTGGGAGAGGAACTGTCAAGAAATTTAATGAAATAAGAAAAAAATTAGGTGGTTAAACAAGTTAAGAAAACCTGGGGAACGTATGGATTTGTCAGTTAAAAACAGAGTAGGGGAGTTAGTAAAATGGGAGAGGGAAGGTATTAGGTAGTTTGGCGATAATATTTGAGGAACTTTTAAATGTTGAGGAAGAAAGGGAGGGGGTAATTCATGCACTGGCCAGAGGGGAATACCATCTTTTAGGATGAAGACAGCAGAATGAAAGTGTGGGGAGGAAACCGTGGGGCATTACGAAAATGAAGGGGGGTAAAGCAGCTGAACTGATGGGATCATGACAAAAATGTTAAAGCAGGGGGATATAGTGTTGGAGGGGTTGGTACTTTGTTTAATAAATGTTAAAGAGGGAGGTACCTAGGGTTTGGGCAGAGAGCATGTATAGTCCCTTTATATAAAGGGAATGGACAAAAGATTGTAAAAATTATAGAGGAAAAATTTACTGATATACCGGGAAAAAAGTGTACGGTAGGGTTATAATTGAAAGAATTAGAGGTAAGACAGAATGTAGGATTGCGGATGAGCAAGGTTTCAGAGTGGGTAGGGAAGTGTAGATCAAGTGTTTAAAATTGAAGCATATATGTGAACAGTATTTAGAAAAAGTAGGGAAGTTTTTATTGCTTTATGGATTTAGAAAGGAATATAATAGAGGGGATATGGGAGCAATATGGAAACCGTTGCAAGTATATGGAATAGGTGGTAAGTTACGAAATGCGTAAAGAGTTTTTATGAGGATAGTGAGGCTCAGGTTAGGGTTGTAGAAGAAGGGGAGACTACTTCCCGGTAAAAATAGGTCTTAGACAGGGATGTGTAATGTCACCAGGTTGTTTTAATATATTTAAGATGGGGTTGTAAAAGAAGTAAATGCTAGGGTATTCGGGGGAAGGGTGGGATTAAATTATGGGGAATCAAATACAAAATGGGAATTGAACACAGTTACTTTTTGCTGGTGATACTGTCCTTATGGAAGATTCTAAAAAGAAATTGCAAAAATTAGTAGATGAGTTTGGAGTGTGTGAAAGGTAGAAAGTTGAAAGTGAACATAGAAAAGAGTAAGGTGATGAGGTACAAATGATTTGGATAAAGAAAAATTGGATATCAAATTGGGGAGAAGGAGTATGGAAGATGTGAATGTTTTCAGATACTTGGGAGTTGAAAGTGTCGGCGGATGGATTTATGGAGGATGAGGTTAATCATAGAATTGATGAAGTAAAAAAGGTGGTGGTGCTTGAGGTATATGTAGAGTCAAAAAACGTTATCTATGGAGGCAAAGAAGGGAATGTATGAAAGTATAGTAGTGAAACACACTATTTGGGTGTGAAGCTTGGATGTGAATGCAGCAGCGAGGAGACGGTTGGAGGCAGTGGAGATGTCCTGTCTAAGATCAAAGTGCGGTGTAAAATATTATGCAGAAAATTGGAGTGTGGAAATTAGGAGAAGGTGTGGAGTTTTAATAAAACATTGAGGGCTGAAGAGGGTTGTTGAGGTGGTTGGTCATTTAGAGAGAATGGATCAAAGTAGAATGACATGGAGAGCATTTAAATCTGTAGGGGAAGGAAAAGGGGGGGTTGGGTCATCCTCGAAAGGTTGGAAGGAAGGGTAAGGGAGGTTTAGGGCGAGGGGTTTGGACTTCCAGGAGGCCCCCATGGGGTTTAGATGGGAAAGTAAAATGGGGCGAAGGGTTTAATTTGGGCCCCGACGTCTGTTGGGTTTTGAGCGGGGTAATATTTAGTGAAGGGTTTCCAAAAAACCCGGGTTTTTTTTATATACCCCGGATTTGGGGTCCGGGAAAAAGGGGAAATACAATGCCTGCCCTCTAAAGGGGGTTTTTTCGGGATATTACGGTTTGGAGGGATATATTTGTATCTTTATACTTATATGCTTCTAAACGGGTTGTTTTTCCCTTAGCACCTCTGAAAAAACAGTGAAAATTTGTGGGGTTTTGGTGAAAGTGTTAATATGTTTGAAAATATTTTTTTTTTTGGGATTTTCTTTTTTTTTTTGGGCACCGCCTCGGGGAGAGGGCCCGATTTGTTGAAATAATATAAAATATATATTATATATAAAAATATATATATAAATAAAATATTTTAATATATAAAATAAAATATAATATATAAATATAAAAATATAAATTATAAATGTCGTGCCGAATAGGCAGAACTATTCTATTCTATTTGTTCCCCGGGTAACCCCCGGCCCGGGTCTTTTCCTTTTTTTGGTAAACCCGGGCTTTGGGCCCCCCGGGGTAGGGAAGTGACACCCATCCGTTACTTCACCTGTGTGGCAGGTCTTCAGCGGGAAAGGGGGGG